TTTTATTTATTTATGTATTCTTTCTTTCTTTTATTTCATTTGTATGGATAAATTATTCTAGAAGAATTAGTTCCACCATAATCCGTTTGTTTTGATAACTACTAAATTTTTGGACTTTCATATTGCCATCTCGTATGTACGAGAAGAAAGAAAATTGGGGATCATTAATATAACGATTCCGGTTTAGACTCAACCTATTCATTACTTTTGAATACTGGAATCCATGTCCTTAACTATTGTTCGTTTCATTTTCATCTTGTTGCTAGTGGAGTTTGATTATTTGGGAGTTATGGTTGTGTTTGAAATAGGTTAAAAGTTAGTTTTTCAAAAGAATTGTTGCCTGTTCGCTCGAGCGGTCTTTCTTGTGCTCGAGCTGTCTTTTACAGTCTGCAAAACTACTGAAAGTGTAGTATCTTCCCTCGAGCGGTCTTTCTTTCGCTCAAGCGGTCTTTTGTAGGTCTGAACTTCTGGGAGGGGGTCATTACGCGCTCGAGTGGTGTTTTTGGTCGTTAGAGCGGTGTCACTTATTGTGTGTAACACTCGAGTGGTCTGCGCGTATATCAGTCCAAGAAAAGGGCATTCTGTGTCACTTTTTCATCTCTCTCTAAACATTTCAAAAACCCTAAATCTTCACTCTCTCTCTCTCTCTCTAGTTCTTGCATTCAAGCTCTAAATACTCTCAACCCATTGGTTTTCTCACCCTAGCCTATTGAAGAAAAGGTAGAGCACGTTGAGAGCTTCATTTTAATCAGAGGAGTTATTATTTTCGGCTTCACCAATCTTCAACCTTGCTCTCTCTTGTATTCTATTCTTGAGGTTGGGATTTCTTCAACCTTTAGTATGATTTTTACTTTAGTTATTTGTCTATTGATAGAATCTAGTGATTTGGGAATTTTGGATTAGACCTAGGGTTTGGTTTTGAATTGAAAAAAGATGGATTTGAGAATGGGTTCTTGAGAAAGGTTGGGGGAATGTGTTTATGATTGAGATATGTTAAAATGGTGGATTTCTTTACTTAAAATTGATTTTTTAAATAAGGGAGGTTTTTGTTCTAAAATTATGGATATTTGGTTTGTGAAAGAAAATGGAAAATGATGCTAGGTTTGGTAAGAATGGAACAATGTTTATGTTGATGATGATGGTAAAGTTGGATATGTAACATCACTTCCATTTTGAAAATGAAGAGATTATATTTGTTGTTGGAAATTATATAATCGTTAGAAATATCTGTTTTGAACTATCGATAGATGGTAGTTTTGATTATTGTAGAAATTGCATGTGGATTAGGTGAATTGAAACTAATTACTCATACATCCTACATTGAGCATTGTTGCATACTTAAAACATTGAAAATGTATTATTTTGAGAAAAAAGGGGTTGTGGTTGTGGTTGTGGTGGTGGTTATGGTTATAATGTTGGCTTGTATGCCCAGAAACATGCGTGGTTAGGTACCGATCCTTCAGGTTAGTATTGGTAAAATGGCTTTGGTAGTGCTTGTATAGCCTACTGGCAGACACGTACCTAGAGATTCCCAGTGTTTTGTATCCACTGCCATATTTTCTATTATAAAAATGATTATTTTCATGAATTGATATATAATCTGGCATTGTATAGTTTTGAGATAGAAATAAGAAATGTTTGATAAATGACATGCATGTGCATTTACCTTATGATTTCATTAAGATTCATATATTGTGTTAAAGTATCTCTATCGGGTCATGACATTTGGCCTGTGAAATGGCTAGAGCTTTACAGGAATCCATGGACATTCTCAAGACTGAGAATCAAGTCAAGGCCCATGTTGCTGAGACAAGGCCGTCTTTTTTGAAGAGAAAGTTTTTCCAGTCAAATCCAGATGATTTTTGGGAGATCCGAAAGAGCCACTGAAGGCGGATGAGTGGCTTGAATAGATGTTGAGGATGTTCGAGATGCTTGGCATCAAGGATGACGACTGAGGGTAACCTTTGCATCGTTCTAGCTGAAGGGATATGTGGGTTAATGGTGGAAGTATGCGCGAGGGCGCATTGGAGTGACTTGGGAGACCTTCGTCAATGCCTTTCAGGACAAGTTTTTGCTTCCTAATGCTAGGGAGAAATTGGGAAATCAGTTCTTGAAGATCAAGTAATTGAACACACCAGTAGCTGAGTTTGAGACCTCTTTTACTAGCCTCTCTAGATTCGCATTGGAACTTGTGGTGACGGAGGAACACCGTTGTGTCAAGTTCGAGAAAAGGTTGAGGACTGAGCTCCTTGTCAAGGTGGCCGAGTCTATGATTAGGGATTACGGTCACCTTCAAGAGACGGTGGCTCATCTTGAGACCATCATCTAGGTTGAGGAGGAGCGGGTGAGGGGCTCTAGGCAGAGGAGTTTAGAGGTTCAGGGGGAGACTCGAGACAACAAATGGCAGAGGGGTTCCACCGCATAGCAGTCCCATGCAGCATAGTTCAGATAAACTTTTTCCGTACCGCATTCTGGTTCAGGGAGAGGTAGTCAGGGTGGGATCACTTGTTTTAGGTGTGGTCAGCTAGGCCACAAGTCTTTAGTTTGCCCGCAGAGAGCAAGAGGGCAATAGTTTGCATCGTTTTCGGCTTGTCCTCAGAGCCAAAGTTAAAGGAGAGAGCAGTTGCCTACCTGTTATCAATGTGGGCAGTTGGGGCATTTGAGGAGGTTTTGCACTCAGGTAGGTGGCACATCTGGTGTGTCTGGTTCGAGGCAAACACAAAGCCATCAGCTTACCCATTTAGCACATGCCTCGAGGGCCACTCAAGGAGCCTCTTTGGCTCAATCAGTGTATCAATCCTATGCTCCAAGGGGTGAGCAGATAGAATAGAGACTCACAAGGCGTGTGTATACTATTATTGCACCAGATCAATTACCAGTATCCTCTATTATGAGAGGTAACTTTTTGTTGTTCAATTCTATTCACTACAACAAAACTGAGTTTTTACGGCTATACATTAACGACATATAGTAAATGCAAGCTGTGGTTTCTCACTTTTATGACTTACTTTTTTTGCATGTTGTAAATAATTTTCCAACCACGACATGTCTATTGTGTAGGTTGTGAATGCTAATAATGATGATTTTTTTACGGCTTGGAATGTTTGCCGTAAATAATAAAACTTTCTATGACATGCATATGGCACGTCGTTAATACATCAACTATACACGACACACATATGTCAGCCATGAAAAGTATTGGACTTTTCACAGCGCACACAACGCCCGCCATTAAAAGTATTTCACTTTTTACGACGCAGACATCGCCTGCCTTTAAAATATTTCCTTTTTACGACGCACAATGCATGTTTGAATTGTATGTTCAAAAAAAAGAAAAAGAAAAAAAAGCGCCAAAATGAAATTTTCCGACGCCAATTCAACAAAATATATATATATGTTAGAAACTTTTTTCTCTTATACACTAGTCTCTCTTTCTCAGTGTCATCTGCCCCTCTTCTAGCCCTTATTTTTCGTCTCTCTCCTCTTGCAACCACCGCCATCGGGACCCTGCCGACCACTGACCACCTCTTCTCTTGCCGTCATCTTCTCACGATGAAACTACCGACCAACTTACCTCTCTTCTCACCTCATATTTTTTTTTATTATTTATTTATAATAATCATGTATTTGTATAGCTGCGTAAAAATTCTAGATCTTCTCTCCGTCTTCTTCAATTCAACCTTGGGTCTGATTTTGATTCAATTGGTGCTTTGATCTTTTAGATTAGATAGAGAATAGAGAACAAACACACACACACACACACACACACACACACATACAGAATGGACGATGGATGTGCGGTGTGCGCAGAGACCCTGGAATGGGTAACCTATGGAGCGTAGGGCCACCGATAGATGTGCTCGACTTGCGTTGCTCGACTTCACTTTATATGCAATGATCGTCATTGCTGCATCTGTAAGACCGAACCCAATGTCGTCTTCGTCACCAAGGTTCCTTCCCAGATTATTTTTTTCTTTTTCATGATTTATTTACTCTTTCCAATTTATACAACTTATTAAAATAGTGCATATTATCAAAGTAATTTTTTTAATTATTCTGATCTAATTCTAATTTTTATGTCTCTGTCTCTGTAATCCCTATATCTTTCTCTCAGCTCCCAAATTCTCTTCGTCTCATCGCAAAGATCAACATCAGTTAAGAGGAAGTGGATTTTGAAGATCAACATGAATTTTTTCTAATTCAATTTATTTTTATCAATGCGGTGTAGAATCTGATTTCGAAACATGTTTTTGATTCGAAGATTCATTTTATTTAATTTATTTATTTAATGCTTTGGCTACTTGATTTGAACATTTCTCTAGATTGTTGGCTAAATTTCATTTAGTTTTTGAACCTCTTATTTGTATGCTGAGAACATTTTAGAAATGAACCGAATGAGATGTCTACACACAGATTATAAAAAAAGAAAAAGAAAAAGTGTAGACTACTACACATAGCCTTTGATGATTTCTTACATTTTTTAGTCTTCTGGATTATCTCATTGTTTAATGGTGCTTCAGTAAGTGGTTATTGAGCAATTATGTGATGTTTTTTTTCCACTTAGAATGTTAACCTATATTTATATATACACATAATATTACCAAAAGAAAAAGATATATACATGTATATTGATGATGAACAAAGAGAAGTTTGGTTAATTCTTTTTCACCATTTATTCCTTATCTACTTAATTTTTCTAGTTACAAATTATGATCAACATTATTATGATTATAATTCATTATGCTTCTTTATTCACTGCTGGAAAAATGACGTTAAGGGTTGAGAGCTCTGATTCAAAATAAGGTTTTCACAGAAAGGGGCGCGTGTGGGTCACCACATTCGGAGGCGTTTTTAAACGCCTCCCATTATAAAACGGTGTCGTTTTGTTTAATAGAATATGCAGCGTTTTTAAAACGCCGTTAAATATTAATAACTGTGACGTTTACAGAAACGTCGTTAAAAAAACGCCACCAAATCGCCCTTTTCCTGTAGTGATTGTAATATCACATAATATTCATTGATATTGCCTTGATTTTGGATTCAGTTATTCTCTTTTATCATACACTTACATGTTGTGTTGTGTTGTGATTTAAATTATATATATGTCCTTCGTCCAATGCCAGCTCGGCTTTTGTTAGTTTGTGTGAAAATGTTTGGTCTTATGGAGGTGAGGTAGGGATAAAATCTTGGTTTTTTGGCTAGGTCCTAGCGTCATTTGTGGAGGCTCAGGCCACACAACCATTAAATAGATACATTGCCTTCTGAACATCTGGTATCGTTGATCTGCACTCGTGAAAGCTCTTCTATTATTTTTCCTTTTGGCTCTTTCTGGAAACAGCTGGACCCATGGTATTCCTTTTGGCAATTATTATTGAAAATATTTGTAATACATTGGATGGTTCCACTTTGAGCAACTTAAAATTGCTATGCTTATGCTTTTGGTTTTGGGACAAGACATGCAAGCGCTGATCAACAAAATAAAGTCTATTATGGCACCACTTCCAACCAAATACTCTAGTGCATTGTGAGTCATTTTCCTTATGTTACATTACTGTTGTGGTTGTTCATGCAATATCTTTCTTCTTATCTTGGTTCTTCTAGTTTGTATATTTGGGGACTCTCTTGTACCTTACACCATGAGAGGCGATGTGTGGCAACTTATTGAAATGATAAGATAGTGTAAGAGGATAACGAAAGATGAATGAATATCCTAATTTTTTTTATGCCTATGAGATTTTAGATTTTTCCTTGTGAGGAATTGTGTTCTTATCTCTATATTATGGCCTTTAATTAGTGTCATCTAATCCTTGCTCTATTTTTGTTTTCCAGTCGGGCCCTCATAAAAGCATGCTACGAAAAAACCCAGAACTTCGGCCGAGTGTATTTCCTGTTCTTTATTCTTTGTTTTACACTTTCCGAAAATGTTTTACGTAGGAGAAGCATTAATATAAGCATATTAATGATTTTCCATTGCCTTAGATAATCTAAATGATTCCAAGTTCATTAAATAAGACTCAGCTATTTGTGGTTGTTATGGCTAATATATTGCCATTCATAGTCATTGGCATAGGCCTTTTCTAGTAAGTTTCACTAATAATTTAAAATCATTGTATTGTATCGTCCAAAATTCTAAGCCAAGAGGTGTTTAAGGTACTTATTGGTTTTATATTTCAATTGGATTAACTTTTGGAAGGTATATATATGAATTAAGAAATAAACATATATTTGCTATTTTGTTGTTTGTCTGCAAAGAAAAAGCTGAAAATAATATTTGGTAGATTGCGATGCAAAAATGATATCGTACTGCAAATAGAGAAGCATGACTTTGTTTGTAACCATCATGGTAACTGTAGGGATGGTAGTCATAGGTCCTTGATGGTCGCTATGGTTCTAGATATGATGGGTGTGTCAATAGTGAAGTGCTTGTGGTAGTATGGGATACAGTGGTAATAATGATGTGATGTGTCATATTGCAAATGGCATCAATAGATGTGTCATGGTGATCCTAGTAATGGTAGTTTTGATATAGATTGACATCTATGGCTGTTTCATAACCTCTATGGCGGTGATCAACCATTTTAGGTGCTGGCAATGGTATTGGGCCATCGATGGTTATGAGGAAAAAATCAAGGTTAGGCCATTGATGGTGGTGGTAATAGAACTATTGTTTCACCTAAATTTTGCTTCCAAAAAATTTAGCTCTTAATTCCAATGCCATTTTTTTTTTTTGTATTTTTGTATTTTTGCTTCCAAAAAAATCTATTGTTTTTTTAAAAAGCTATCCAAATACTATACTAAAGGGCCTTTGTGGTCTCAAAAGTAGATATATAATTTTGATCATTTGCAATTATGTTCTTGTTTAGACATTTGCTTGTGCATTTGTGTATGCTCTATAATTATGGAGGATGAAATTGGCTGGGAGTATGATGAATGCATTTTCTGAAGGACTCATATTGGCTGACAAAAGTGGACTTAACCCCAAAACTCTTCTTGACGTGTTGGTGAGACAAAAACTAGAATCTTTTTATTCAGATTTCTGTTAATTTTGAGCCGACTCTTGATGTCTTGCTTGCTTTCTGGTAGGACCTAGGTGCAATAGCTAATCCAATGTTTAAGATGAAAGGACCCACTATGAACCAAAAGAGCTACTCCCCTGCATTTTCTCTGAAACATCAGCAGAAGGACATGAGGTTGGCTCTTGCCTTCGGTGATCAAAATGCAGTATCAATGCCAGTGGCAGTTGCTGCTAATGAGGTAAGGCCATTTGTTTGCTTCTCTGTTACCTTTATCTGAACATAATGCTCACTGTGAGCAGCATGTGTTTAGTGGTCTTAACAATGAGCTGAATATACAACTGAAGACATGTTATTATCTATCCTTATAGTTTAGCCAGAAAAGTTCATTGGTGTAGAACGTGTAAACGAGAACCACTCTAGGGTTTCATATTTATCTCTTAATCAATATTCAATCAAAGGTAAGTTTGTTCTTTACTTAATCCCATATATTCCATAACCAAATAAGGAAAATGAGGGAAAAACAAACAAGAAATAAATAAAATTAGAAACAAGTACTAAACATTCTAAGTTGTCAATTGGTGCCTCTTGTACCTAAAATATGTCTTCATTCATAGCCTTTTATTCATAGCTTTTTATTGTTTTCTCTCTCTCTAGATGTTAGTTTGATTGTAAGAAAAAATACACATTATCTTATAGGAGCACCAGGGAAAGCACACCTTGCAGTTTGATAAGAGATCCAGAGAGCATAAGAACCCCTGGTTCTACTACTAGGCCTACTTCTTCAACTGAGGCCAACAGAAGAGTACAGAATCCCTTGATGATTTTATGGGCATGTCAGCCTTGAACTTAGGAATTTAGATTTTGTGGTTCTCTTATTTCCTTTTGTTGTTGTTGAAAGCAGTTGTGTTAATCTGTTGCATTACCTTACTGTTATTTTGTTTTAGTGTTTTTGGTTCTTTCTCCATTGCTAATACCTGCAATGGCAGAGAAAGTCGACTTCTTGAATTAATAAACCTCAGGCAATGATGACGGTACCACTTGTCACCACTTGCCATTTCTCACTCTTTTTTATATTTTTAAATTTTTTTAAACATTTTGTCAATTACCAAACGCGTTTGTAGTTTATGTTTTTCTAAAAATAAAAAAAACCAGTTTATAAAATTTTTGTAAATATAAACTGAAAACATAAACGTTACCAAACACACCCTAAAGTGTTTATTGATGGTCATTGATGCTGTCTATGAGACCCACTATCTTGAGCCCATTTTTAATATAAACTCTGATTTTATGGCACAATGCAGACCCATTGATTGATTGGGTATGTGGTTCATCAATCTTATCTATTGTTGTTTTGGATTGTGCACATGATTGGTCTTCCTTTGGGTGCCAACATAGTTAGGATGTGTTCCATTGACAATGATGCATTTTCAATCCAAAATTTTCTCTTGTACATATTTCTTCGCATTAATAATATTTCTCTTTTGCTGATAATAATTAAAAAAAAAGTAGCTCACACACTCGAAATAATAAAAGAACAACAGGAGAAGAGAACACATGAAAGAAACAAATTCATCATGGATTTGAATCACTTGTCATAATTTATTGTGAGCTTTCAAATTGACATTGTTAATTATTAGGAGGCAATGGAATCGAAATACAGATTATGACTTTGAGGCAGAAGTTCAAGAACTGATTAGTGGGACATGAAGGTGGGTTTAAGCACCTTCTTCAGCAACTGTAATAGGATTGGTTTTTGACTAACTGTTTGTTTATTCATTTAGGTGGCCAAAGAAATGGTGCAAATGGAGATGTAGCCAATGATCATTATACCACTACTTGGTATTAGATTTGCATTTATTTTATAATTAGTCTGTACATTTAAATTGCATAACAAAGATATGAAAAGAGATCGTCAAATTAATTTTATCTTATTCTGATTATTTCAGGAGGACATTGAGTTAGTGCAGTCATTACAGGAATATGGTTGAAGATTCTCAATCTCATGGGCCAGAGTTCTACCTAGTATATTTTTCAATAATCTATTAGTGTTTGTTACTCATAATTTGATTCGTTCATATAACTTGATTAATAACCTTCTTGAGCTATATTAGGAGGTAGAAACATGGTCTTTGGATGATTTGTAATGTACAGACAATTTTTGGATGTTTGAAACTTATAAATAGTTTTTTTTGGTGTTTGAAATAATATTTTGGTGTTTGATTGATACTCTTATATATATATATATATATATGTATATTTGTGAAACTTATTTGTAATTTTTTTAGATTGTATAGAACAGATGAAATAAAACCTACTTTTTTTTTAATTTTAAATATACATATTCTACGGCATGCAAAAAATGTTGTGAAATTTGGGCTATCTAGGTAGGCAAAATAGGTCATTGTGTTAAATATTGAACAACTAGCAATGAACGTCGTGGTTTGTCTCTTTAATGAACGGCGTGCAAAAGTAATTGTAGAAAAGTCAAACACAACGCATAAGATCCGCTGTTAAAAGTTTTAAGGGCATACTATAGCATGCCATTGAAAGTGAATGACTTTCCATGACTGGTCATAACACAACATTACCTTATACGTCATAAAAGGGTTTTTACATTGCGCAATGCGCGTCGTAAAAACCCTTTTTTGTTGTAGCGATTGCCAGTGTGTCGATTGATACTAGTGCATCTCATTCCTTCATCAGTTTTGGGATTAGAAGTGGCTTAGTTAGCGTCTCCGCTCAGGGTAGAGTCACCAGTTGGGGGTAAGGTTGTCTTGGATCGAAAATGTTGCGGTTGTGTGATAAAGGTTGCCAGTCACCAACTTCATTTTGCTTTCGTATTGTTAGATATATCGGGTTTTGATGTCATTTTAGGCATAGATTGGTTGTCTTCATACCGTGCTGTTATAGATTGTTTCTGTCAAAGAGTTACGATGTACACCTTGAGTGGTGACTGTTTTTATTTTCTAGGTGACCAAGCTGATAGAGTTTTGTCGCCTGTATATGACTTACATGGTTGGGGTGAGCTTAGTTGTCTTCTTGTAATTTTCTTTGGTAGTGAGAGTGATGTGGTCTAAGTTTGATTGCCGAGGGTAGTTTTTGAATACCCAGACATCTTTTTCGAAGATCTTCCTAGTTTGCCACTCCACCGAGAGATTGAGTTCTCCATTGACTTAGTGCCTGGCACGACACCAATTGTCATGGCACCGTATAGATTTGCACCTGCTGAGTTGTATGAATTGAAGATTCAACTCCAAGAGTTGTTAGATAAGGAGTTTATTCACCCTAGTACATCACCTTGGGGAGCACCAACTCTCTTTGCTAAGAAAAAGGATGGCACTTTGCAACTGTGCATCAATTACAGGAAGTTGAACCGGGTAACTGTTAAGAACAAGTACCCATTATCACATATAGATGATTTGTTTGGCCAGTTGAAGGGATCTTGTTACTTTTCTAAGATCGCCTTGAGATCAGATCATCATCAGTTGAGGGTGAAGGTGGAGGATATTTAGAAAATGGCATTCCATACGCGGTATGGCCACTATGAGTTCTTAGTGATGCCTTTTGGGCTAACCAGAGCACCGACTTCGTTTATGGATTTGATGAATCAAATCTTCTGTGAGTTCCTAGATTGTTTTGTAGTTGTCTTTGTTGATGTCATCTTAATCTACTCACCCTTTGAGGATGAACACGAGTAACACTTGCGGGTTGTACTTGAGTTGCTTAGAGTACACTATTTATATGCTAAGTTGGGGAGGTGTGAATTTTGGATAAAGTTCTTATGCCATTTGGTATCCGGTAAAGGGGTGAATATTGACTCTTCTAAGATAGAGGTAGTGCAAGATTGTGAACAACCTAAGAATGCTTTTGAGATCCTGAGTTTCTCGGGCTTAGCCAAGTATTTCCGACGTTTTGTGAAAGACTTCTCTAGATTGGCCTCACCATTGACTAGATTGACGAGGAAGGGGATTAAATTTGTATGGAGTAAGACTTACGAAAAGTTGTTTCAAGAGCTTAAGGTTAGACTCACCACTGCTCCAGTATTGATTATTCGGTAAAGGGGTTTGGATTATTCAGTTTATTGTGATGTGTATCGAGAAGGTTCGGGTTGTGTATTATTGCAAGAGGGGAAAGTGGTAGCATACATTTCACAGTAGTTGAAAACACATGAGAGAAACTATCCTACTCACGACATGGAGCTAGTGGTGGTGATTTTCTCCTTCAAGATCTGGAAGCATTATTTATATGGTGAGAGATTTGAAATGTTTTCCAATCACAAGAGTTTGAAATATCTGTTTTCACAGAAAGATTTGAATTCGAGACAGAGAAGGTGGATGGAGTTTATGGACAATTATGACTTCGAGTTACACTATAACCCCAGGAAGGCTAATGTGGTAGTCAACGCCTTGAGTAGGAAATCCGTAAGCGGTGTAGCTAGTATTGTCATCCAGGAATGGGAGATGTTGGGTGCTATTGGCAAGTTCGACTTACAACTTGGCGAGTCCATTGAGTCAGCCATTTTGTTCACTATAGTTGCACAACCTACACTACTGAGCCGAGTTATAGAAGCATAGTGGGGTGATAGCGAAGTAGAGGCTATTCGAGGGAAGATATCTAGTGGGAAAGTAGAGAAGGGCTTGAACGTATATTCTGACTAGAGTGTGCGGTTTTTAGATCGTCTTTTCGTGCCAAAATCTTGTAGGGATGAGGTACTTCGAGAGTTCCACCAATCATGCCTTGCGGTATGTCTGGAAGGCACAAAGATGTACCACAACCTTAGCCACCATTTGTTTGGGGGGGGATGGAGGAATGAAGAGAGACGTAGCCTTGTTTGTTTCGAGGTGCCTTACTTGTCAACAAGTGAAGGCCAAGCACAGCAGGTTTGTTGCAACCCTTATCTATAGCCGAGTGGAAGTGGGAGTATGTCACGATATATTTTGTTGTGGGTATTCTGAGGACTCAATGGGGTAATGATGCCATGTGGGTGAGAGTTGACCGGTTAACTAAATCAGCACACTTTGTACCTATGCATACGAGTGACTCGATAAATTATCTTACCGACCTTTCTGTTAGGGACATAGTTCGAGTTCATAGGCTCCATGTGACTATCATTTCCCTGCTCGGTCGTGACAGAGCCTACAGAATGCCTTGGGTACTAGATTGACGTTTAGCATCGCTTATCATCCTCAGACTGACGGGCAATCCAAGCGAACCATTCAGATCTTAGAGGACATGCTTCAAAGTTGTGCTCTGGAATTTACCGGGTCGTGGGAGAGGCATTTACCTTTGGTGGAGTTTGCCTATAATAACAATTTCCAAGCAAGTATTGGTATGGCACCGTTTGAGGCCTTGTATGGTCAACCATGTAGATCTCCAGTGTGTTGAGCCGAGGTGGGTGATGCACCTATGTTAGGCCCTGAATTAGTTCAGGAAACGATAGAGAAGGTTGCGCTTATTCGTAAGAGGTTGGTGTCTGCTCAGAGTCGCCAAAAGAGCTATGTTGACCGTTAAAGAAGGCCTTGTCTTTTGAGGTAGAAGATCACGTATTCCTGAAAATATCACTAAGACAGGGTTTAATGAGATTTTGGAAGCGCGGGAAGTTGTCTTCTAGATTTATTGGGCCTTTTGAGATTCTAGAGCGAGGATAGGGGAGGTAGCTTATCGTTTGGCCTTGCTGCTCTAACCTTCCAAGGTTCATGACATGTATGAGCTTGATTCTTCACACATGTTGGATTGGACCGAGTTAGAGGTAGATGATGATGCCTCATACGAGGAGAGACCGGTTTGGGTTTTAGACACTCGGGATTACGTCTTGTAATGGAGGATTATTCCACTGGTTAAGGTGTTGTGGCGACACCATGGGGTTGAGGAGGCGACTTGTGAGAACCCGAATATAAAAATTAAGTAAATAATTAAAAAATAATAATATTACAATCTCAAATATTTTTGTTGTGAATTCTAAGGTGCAAATTAAATATTATTGGAGGATCTTTTAATTAATTTTAAACCTAAAATAAATTTATGGTGAAAGTCTTTAATTTAGAGACAAGGTTTATTATAAAAATAAAAATAAAAAGAGAGAGAGAGGAGGGGGTGACTTGAACTCTAGACCACAAGGTTAATATATAAGACTCCTACCATTTGAGTTGCATGTAACTTATACATATGTTTTGTATATTTATCTATTTATTTGACCTATGTGTGCCCACCACTAGTATAAAATAAAATAAACACAAACCCTACTCTATTATTTGTTCACCACATAGGGCAACAACAGCAGCCACGGGAGAGGGTTAGAGAGAAGGAAAAAAAAAAGAAGAAGATGTTGCAATCAAAGAACTTTTGGGTGTGTTGTGTTGTGTGTGATCATCAAAGGTTAGCCCTCCTAGGTTTTCTTCTCTTCTTTCTTTGTTCTTCATCCTTATTCTATAATTATTTTATTCATTCATGGAGAGGTTGTAGGTTTATGTATTGTGTATATAGATATCCTATTAAGAAACTTGAGGAGCTAAATATATGTGACGTGGGCAGCAACCAGATAATGTAGAGCCTCTCTCTGGTCCAGATTTGAAAAAAAAGAAAAAGAAAAAGAAAAGAAAAGAAAAGTAGTCCGCACAATGGATAAAAGGAGAAGTGGATGAAGTAACCAGAATTTGGACAGCTCTGGTTAAATTCAAAATACACGGAATACATTTTTTTTGAAAAAAAAAGGTGAGCTCCCCTTTCGAACAGTTTCGAATAAGCTGAAATCATAGACACAAACTTCTTTGAATCCATACGAAAATATATATATATATATATAAATAATAATGTGTATATATACACACATATTCAGGATTGCACCTTTCCAAAGATGAATCCTTAAACCAATCAAACTCTTTGCTACAAACTGGAAATACTTTAAAGCCTTCAAAAAGTCACTTTACTAATAGCTACAAAGCTATCACATTATACTATGAGCAACTCCAAAATTAGTAGGTCTGCTCTAAACCTGTAACTTCAATTCATGAGTTGTCTTCTCCATGGATCGCCCATTCCCAATGTAAAGCTGCAAAAGTTAGTAAATTCACCTCCTCTTTCCCAATGCAATCTCATCTTTATAAGAGA